CTCTGGCACCAATCGTGCCAGAAATCAAGACCCGACGGGGACCTCAAAATACATACAAACCGAAAAAGTGGTAAGGCATGTGATCATAGGCTGTGATGTGGCTTCGTCTTAGAACACTTCACGGCGCTATGTGCTACTGAAACCGTTGAATAGTAGGCAGTGCGGGCACTGAATGGTCAGTTGTTGCACTGTGGAGGTGAAAGCTGCGAGGTGTAAGCTATGGTGTGGTAGTGTGGCAGCGTTGTGTTGCAAGCTATAGTGTGTAAGCCATGTGGTGCGAGATGTGTGGTGTGAGTTGTGCGGTATAGTATTTGGCGTGTAAACAGTGCGGCGTAAGCTAGGGTATGTGAGCTGTGCGGTGTGGGCTGCGTGGACGAAGCTGCGCTGTTGACGCCGCGCGGTGCAACCTATGCAGTGCGGGCGGTGCGGTGTAAGCAGCGCTGCCTGAGCTGTGTGGCGCGAGGCTTGCTGTGCAGGCCGTGTGCCAGCCGAGGCGGAAGAGGAGGAAAAGGAGGAGGAGGAGGAGGAGGAGGAGGAGGAAGGAGGAGGAGGAGGAAAGAGGAGAAGGAGGAGGAGGAAGGCGCACGCGGCGCCCCTCGGGGCGCCCACAAGCGGACCCGGGCGCCAGCGCGGCGAAGCCTCGAAAGGCCCACCCGGAGCACGTGCTCGCCCACGAGGCGTCCACGGGCGGGCAACCCGACCTGAGCGCAGCGAGACCTCGTGAAAAACCACCCAGCGCACGCGGAAAACACGAGGCGTCCAGGAGCGGGCGCGGCACGGGCGACACCTCGGGAGGCCCACCCAGAGGCTGAGAATGATGGGCCTGTTTTCCACCACCACCACCGCCATAAGGCGCAGGGAGGAAGGAGGTGGAGGATGAGGAGGGAGAGGAGGATAAGGAGGAGGAGGAGTGCACAGGCCACGAGGGAGGGCAAGCGGGCAAGACGCGAGCAAGGGAAAGAAAGAGGCGGACACGAGGCAAAGGGGAGAGAAAAAAGAGTCCGAAATCCCACGCCTCCAGCAGCTCGAAGACATCGAGCGAGAAGATGCACTAGTGCACGAGCTCCTGGAGGGACGGTTGCCTCCTGAGCACCTGGCAGAGTCGGGCCTTCAGAACTCTACGGAGACGGGACTCGCCTCGGAGCCTGGAAGTTGACTTGTACGGGTGATGGCTGATGCAGGCAGCATCAATGAACAGGGCAAAAGACATCAGCTGATCATCAGGGAGGGGGAAGAGCGGGAAGGCAGCGGCAAGATCACGGCCCCCACGCGACCCCGCAGCGGGAGGGAGACGAGGAAGGAGGGGGGCAGCGGCATCATGCAGGATACGGCACTCTAGCATGTGAGCTAGGGAATCCTGAAACTCTACACTGGCACAAAACATACAGGGCTTTGTTTGGCCCTCGAAGCGTCGGGAGGTCGTCCAAGCACTACAAATCGTGCGGAGCACTGAGGCTAAGACACTTGGTGGTGTCTTCTTGGCGATCCTGCGAACCGCGATCATCAACTGTTCTTTTTCGGCGGACGTGATACGGCACCAGTGCGCGGCACGAGCGAACATGGTGGGGGAGGGGCTGTCGGCGGCACGAGACAGCAGGAGGGCTTCAGTTTTCCTCTGCAACGCAGGCGTGCCAAACTCAGGAATACCAGGGATACTAGACAAAGCTTTGAAATTCAACCACAGACTACGGAAGCTAGAGTTTAAATAGAGCGGGCGACTCTCCCACGCAACAACACACTCCATGGATTCACTGTACTGGCCAAACAACGTAGTCATGTCATTAAAAACCTCGGAACTCATGGCTAGACGATACATAGAGGCACGGGAGGTAGTATACGAATTACGAGCTTGGACGGGGAAGCCTAATCCCTTAAGACTATGTAAAAGGGAGCTACTATATGCATTGCAGGCGCCCTCAGTCAGGAGCTGTAAACCTCGATTCTCAAGATTCAGAATGCGATGACCAGGGAGATGGAACTGAGCGACGAAAGTGAGGGCCGAGACGTCGAACACGTTGTATATAGCGATGTTTTTTTAGCGAGGCCGAGGTGGAGGGCCTTAGTGGTGGCTACCCTGTCGAAGTACTTGCTGCCTGGAGCCCGCCGCGACTGGTGCGCCCTTTCTAGACCGAGCATAAGACCAAAATATTGTCCTGCGTGCGTCAGCTGAAATTTCTTTCCTCGAATTCCAACACCGCGCAAACGACCGAGGAACTCTGCGTGCTCGGGCAAGCGGGGCATGACAATCTGGACGCCCTCCAACTTAAGCACGAGCCCAGCAGCACCGGCGGCAGTGCACCAGATCGGAAGGGGGGTGGCTGCCAGAGCGTGGTAGACGTCTCCACACGCGATGCCGATGTCATCTGCAAAAGCGCCAAGACGGGGGTGATCGGGAGGAAGTCGAGAGGTCATGAGGCGGAGGATGGGGTCGAGACAGAGGGCGAATATGGAACCTGATAATGTGCCCCCCTGTTTAATACCACGAGTAACCCAGAATCCAAAAGACGTGACCCCGCAATGCGAGACGCTGACCCAACATTGGGAGTAGAGCAACTTGATGGCCTTACGGAACCTCGGGGGGATCTCCATGAGCTCCAAAATCCAATGAATATATTCGTGAAGATGGCTAGGGAAGGCGGCTTTAACGCCATAGAGAACACAACCAGAGCCAGGTAGAAACTGTTGGCAAAGGTAGTGACACATACTGGCCTCCAAACCAATAGTATTGTCAAACATCGAGCGGCCACGGACAAGCCAGTCTGATGTTTACAGCGAACCACTTGACAAAGTACCCCAGGGCGTGATTCGGAGCCAGGCAACAGAGCTTATTGCACGTGTTACAGAGCGCGATCGGCCTTGTCTTGCCCGCGGATCTGGATACTGCGAACACATCGGGCGGGGCCTCGCCCAAGACAAGGAAGACTGCGAGGGCGAGGTTGAAGCCGTCTCCAACGCACAGGCGGTGAAAGAGCGCGCAGTAGAAACGAAAAAGGGTGAGAAGCGCGTCTTCTCCTGCACGCAGCCAAGCTGAATAGACCAGTCCGTCTGGGCCTGGGGGGGAATCCCTGACTTTGCAGAAGATGTTGCGAAATTCGTCGGACGTAATCCCCCATTCAGGCACAGGCGGGGCAGTCTGCGCAAAAGGTCGGATATGCTCGAGCTGGTCTGGCAGACTGGGGTGCCCGTGATGAACTTCTCCCCAATACTGGGCTAATCGTTCGGCTACTTCTTCAGGACCAGAGTGTTCGGTGCCATGGGGGGTCGGTGATCCTAGAGAGACGAACGCGTCGGCCCCCAGAGGCCCATGCAGAGCACCACTGGTAAAGCTGACGTTGCCGAGCCAAGCGTCTAGCGGGCCGAGCAGAGGCATCATTTTCAGCATCTTCGATTTCACTCTGGAGATGCGCACGCTGTAAAGTACTGACATGCTGGTGGAAGCCGCCCAGGTCGGACCAGATCAAAAACTCGAGGTCCAGGAACTGCGCGAGAGCCGAATATGCGCGACATGCACGACGAGCAAGAGAACGATGTTGTGAACGAACTGCACGCATCAGGGCAAGGCTCCAGGAGATCTTCCCAGGGATGGCGGTGGCGCCAGAGGTCTCCAGACGGCCCAATAGACTGCGCGCAGCGCAGCGAAGCATGTCCTTGGTTTCCTCCAGACGCTCCCAGGGATCCGAACTCAGCGAACCAGCCTCCAGGAACACACTTTCACACCCGGCGGGGAACCCGGGATGTTTCGGGACACACTTCGGAACGATGTAGGCGTCAGGGGAGCCTCTGAGCTTCGGAGCGAACGCGAGGCAGACGGGTATATGATCCGACAGCGAGTTGCGATCTGTGATGTTTCCGATCGTCATCGTGCTAGGCTTCAGGTCGAGGATTTCGGCGGTGTTACACATAATGCGATCAAGACGAGCAACCGAGACGAGCACGTTATCCTGAACAACACGATGAGTGGGCATCTCTTGCATCACTTCAGCGTGCGTTGCGAACAGCTGCGCCGCGTGTCTGACGATGTCGGGCTTCGTCGGGGCCAGACGGCCAGAAAGATGATGGGGGCCTTCTCCTTCGAGGCAGAAATTCCAGTCTCCTGCGACAAAGCTGAGCGCCTGGCATTGGGGGGGAAGGGCGCGTGCAACCTGGGAGAGAAAGACCTTTTGGGCAGGAATGGGGATGGTCGGGGTGTCGTGAATACTCATGATCTGGAGGATACCTTGTGGGCCACATAGGGTGACCTTCTGAGCCCTGCCGCGGCGGACCACAGAGTGCCGAACAAATTGAAAATTACGACTGGGCTTCTCGCTCACGAGGGTGATGCAGCCGCCTGCATCTCTAACTTCAAAGAAAGTGCCGAAACCGCTGGCGCCGTGAAGTTCGCGGAGGAGGAGGTCGAGTTCTTTCTGGGAGCCTCGGGTTTCTTGTAAACAAATCACATGATGTCGGGTGACAAGTCGTTTTATGAAGTCGATTTTCTTCCTGGCAAGGTTTTGCTACGACCAAACCGGGTTGAACATGCGGTGAACAGCCCAAGAAACAATAGAGAGCTTCTCCGAGATCGCACATGGGAAATGCGATCTGGGGCCCAGGAACTCGGCGGGGAGAGGGCGGTCATCTGGGCGGAGTCGGAGGAGGACGAGGCGGTGGAAGAAGAGGAACTGCTGCTGCCTGCAAAACTGGAGGCAGGAGAAGCGGCGCGCCCCGCGCGCCTGGTCCTGCGAACCCTGCATGGCCGTGCCATGCTCGACAAAATGTCGGAAACCCGTTCGAGCTGATGAACTTCCGATTCGAGCGCTGCGCCTGCAACCTTGTCGGCTGCTATGCGATCGATGCCGAAGGACTGGAGGCTCTCATACTTCATGTCGAACGTGTAGCTGTCCTCGCCGACGTCGGTGAGCGAGGCGAGCACCTCGACATCGTCCTGCCCGAAAAAGGATGAAGAAGATCCCGCGTGGACCGTTGCATCCGAGACGGTCGCCTTCTTTCCACATGCTGTTGTCCTTCATGTGGTTGAGCAGAGCCTGCCACAGACGGCCGAGGGCCTTGTGGCGAGAACGAACCTCCGCGCTGGCGTCGAGGCGGCAGCGCATGTTGATGGCGACTTTGGTGCGGGGGTCGATCCAGTCAACTCCGTTGGCTTTCAACTGCTGGGCAGCGTTGCTGGCGATCTCGAGAGAGGAGAAGCGGATGGAATAGCTCATCTGCGTGTTCTTGGCGGAGACCTCGGCGCCGATGGAGTAGTTGGCAGGATGTTGGGAAAGAACAAGTTGAGCATGAGCCTGCATCGCTGACCCTAAAACGCGGCGTGGAAAGCCTCCGAACCATACGCGGCATTTGTCGGCTTCCTGGTTGGCGGTCATCGGAGAAGCATGGTCACTTCCCACAGCACGATGCTTGAGACTGCCCGCGGTGGAGAATGAATTGACCGATGATGGGCTGGCGCGCGAACGAGATGCGGCGGTAGATGCTGCTTGCTCACACGCTTGAAGGCGGGCCTCGAGCTTGGTAAGGATGGCTGCTTCCACTGCGGCGGTGATCTTCACTGAGGTGCCGTCCTCGATCTGCGCGATGCGAGTCTCGAGCGAGGCGAAGTGTTCGTCATGGGCATCGAGACGGGTCTGCAGCAGCTGCATGTCCTCCCTGGTGCACACATTCGAGAGCTTATTGTCCATGTTGCGGAGGAGCGCCATGAGGGAATACTCGTCGCCTGGCGGCGCGTCCATCTGGGATGCTGGGGAGGGAGTTGAGCATGCCCGCGGAATAGAAGCCACAGAGACAGGAGCGCTGGGGATGCCAGTCATGTCGTCGCCGTCGGCGTCTACCTGACCGCCATCGGATGGAGAGACTGGCTTGGTGCGAGTCATCAGCTGAGGGGAACAGAGGCCAGCCTCTGAGCTGGCGGATGCCCGAATGCTCGACAAAGGCCTCCGGAAGGACTCGAAAGCTAATCGCTGATTCCCGGGCGTCTATAGCCCTTCACAACGTTTAGCCTTGAGCCAAAATGGCTACGGAGAAGGAGGAGGAGGACCCCCTCTCCCTCCTACTTATGGTGGTGGTGGTGGTGGAAAAAAGCCCACCAGAGAAAGCGAAGTGAGAACCCCAGAGTGCAAGCACAGCTTGGGGAGTCAGCATATGACGTAATTGCACCGAGCACACGTATGTCGCACACCAGTGTGAACATGCAGCCACGGGTCTGAGTACACGAATGCTGTGCCCCCGCGGGGGAGCTGATCAGCCAATCTACTTCGTTCCGTCCAAGAGTCGGGCGGCACAATCAGCGCCACAATATTACAGCAACCATGCAAGCATAATGCGGAAGCGTGGCATAACGGAGATCGCACTGCCTCTCCGTCCCATCTTCCCCACTCGCGCTCGCCCTTGCCACCACCTTTGCAATCGCCTTCGCTCTCTCCTGGTCCCCATAGCGCGTCGCTTGTCTCGTACCCCCTCCCATCACATCTCCCGTCCGCATCCCCCCCACCCCTCTGCTTATCCCTAGTCCCCCCGCCACCCGAGTCAGGGCTACTTTCCAGGGAAGCCGGCCCACAAACAATAACAATGTCGTTGGGGTGGCTGCTGCGTGGGTCCTCCGCCTGTCCTCCTACCCCATCTTCTCCTCCTTCTCCTCCTCCTCCTCCTCCTTCCCCCTCCCCTCCCTTGCTCCCTCCCCCCTCCCGCACGCGAGTGGGCGGTGAGCTCGATGCGCCGAGACTTGACCATACGAGAACCCCCCCGCACTGGAGCAGAACAATGTGCTGCAAGGCGATTGCCGGACTCGGCCACTGAGAGCGGTGCCTGGCGTCGGCATCGCCGGTTCGAAGCTATCGTCGACCCCTGTGGCTGTTGTTGTGGGTGCATGCCCGCCCCATCGGCAACCAGAACCCGGATTAAACAACGCGAGCGAATGAAGCGCGACAGGCCTTTGGCGCCGTCTTCGTCTGTGCCCTCCTCTTAATTCTTCTCCTTCGCTGGCCTGCCTCTTCACATCCCTCCTCCTCCTCCTCCTCCTCCTCCTCCTCCTCCTCATCATCATCATCATCATCATCATCATCATCAGCAGCATCAGCATCATCAGCAGCAGCATCATCATGACCATCATCACCATCACCATCACCATCATCATCATCATCACCATCACCATCATCATCATCAGCAGCAGCATCATCATCATCATCACCACCATCACCATCACCATCACCATCACCATCACCATCACCATCACCATCACCATCACCATCACCAGCGTCATCATCATCATCATCATCATCATCATCATCATCATCATCATCATCATCATCATCATCATCATCATCATCATCATCATCATCATCATCATCATCATCCCCCTCCTCCACTACCCACATTGACCGCATCGCCGCACCTTCTCCTGTCTCTCCTCTCATCCAATCCACTCCTCCGCCGCCTTCTCGTCCTCCTCGTCCTCCTCGCCATCCTCCTGGTCCCCCTCCTCCCCCTCCGCCTCCTCTTCCGCCTCCTCCTCCTCCTCCTCCTCCTCCTCCTCATCCTTCTCCTCCTCCTCCTCTCCTCCTCTTCCGCCTCCTCCTCCTCCTCCGAACCCCTCTTCCTGTCGCTGTCACTGTCCGCTTCGGAGTTCGCTTCGAACGCGGCCGCCGCCCCCCCCTCCCCAGGAGCGGTCGCCCCTGGGGGGATTGATCACACGGGTGCTGCATAGCGAAGGCGGGGAGGCCCACTCTTCTCTCCTCCTCCTCCTCCTTGTTCCTCATCCTCCTCCACCTCCTCCTCCTCCTCCTCCTCCTCCCTGTCCTCCTCCTCCTCGTCCTCCGCCTCCTCCTCCTCCTCCTCCTCCTCCTCCCTCCCCCGCCTCCTCAACATTGCTTCACCCCCTAAGACGTTGGTCGAGAAGAAGAGCCTCGGGCGGCTTCCCTGAGCTGCTGCGCCAGCTGGACGCTGAGGCTGGTGTCGGCGCCCAACCCACTGCCAAGACTGCCAGCGGCCTTGCAGGGGCCTCATCCGTCACATCTTCCTCTTCCCCATCCCCCCCCCCCCCCCTCCCCCCCAACCCTCCCCATCCCCCTCCCCCTCCCCCTCCCCCTCCCCCCCTCCCTCTCCCAATCGTTTTCTTCCTCCTCCCCAGTGACCTGCTCGCTGCGGATGTAGATTCGTCCTCGCCTTCCTCCTCTTCCAGCTGATATACCCCCCTCCTCCGCCTTGTCGTGCGTCCGCCCCTCCCTGTCGCAATGCCCCAACGCAGAGGAAGAGAAGGAGGAGCACGACACCGACGAGGACAAACACGATGAGATGGAAGACGATGCGGAGGAGAGGGGCGATGACAAAGAACACGGCGAGGAGGAGGAGGAGGAACGCCAAGATGAAGAGGGGGGGAAGACGGACGGGGACGACGATGAAGGGGATGGCCGCCAGGAGGATGCGTACGACGAGGGCGAGGATGAGCACGATGACGCGCAGAGGGACGAGAGGACGAGGAGGAATTCGCCCCGCCACTGCGCACCCTCCCTCTCCTCGATGCCACGCTGGTGGCCCAGCCTGGGGTTGGTGCCGCTGCAGCGCCGCCCTCTCGGCGGTCAGCGCTTCCCTGTCGGCGGAGGCGGGTGGGCGGGGGGGATGGCGCAACGGCAGCGAAGCGGGATGCCACGAGGGGTGGGTGGGTGGGGCAGTGGGCAGTCCCTGCCTGGAGGCGCAGGGGTGAAGGGGGGTGGGCAGGATGTAGGCGGAGGAGGAGGAGGAGGAGGAGGAGAAAAAAAGAAGAGAAGGAGGAGGAGGGAGGAGGAGGAGGAGGAGGAGGAGGAGAGAGAGGAGGAGGAGGAGGAGGAGGAGAGGAGAGGAGAGGAGGAGGAGGAGGAACTGGAGGAGGAACTGGAGGAGGAGAGGAGGAGAAAGGTAGAGAGGGAGGAGGCGGGATGAGGTGAGGGAGGCGGGGCGCGAGGATGAGGTGGGACGGTGATGGGAGGGCAGATGAGGAGACAGAAGAGGGAAGGAGAAGAAGGACTGGGGCGGGGGGGAGGGGGGGGGCCAAGGAGGAGGGACTCCGCCCCTTCCCTCCTCCTCTTCGTTCTCTGTGTGTTCCCCAACCGTCATGTGGTGCTGATCCTCGCTTTGAGGAGCAAGCGCGCCCCGCGTCTCCTCTTCCGCCTCCTCCACATCCTCCTCCCCTCCTCCTCCTCCTCCTCCTCCTCCTCCTCCTCCTCCTCCTCCTCCTCCCCCCCCTCCGTAGCCATTTTGGCTCAAGCCGTTTCGGCTGGAGGTGGTTGCACCCCAGTGTCGGCGCGCGCGATTCGGAGCGGCGCAGCGCGTCGGAGCCGATGGCGATGGCGGCATGAAAGTGAGGCTTCCAGTGCACCTGATAGACAGGCGACTCCTCACGGAGCTGAGAGACAGCCTTGGTGATTTCGAACTGATCATCGGGGACGGGCCGGCTGGACAGGATGGAGGGCAGGTGGATCCCCATGTCCAGCTGGCGCTCGCCGCCGCGGAAGGTCAAAGTCGGGGACCAGTGGCTGGTGAAGCCGCCGTCTCCGCGTCGACCGCTCAGGCCCTGGGTGAAGGCCAAAGCAAAGGTGAGACCTGTGAAGAAGCAGCTCACCGCGAAGGCCAAAGCCAAGAAGAAGGAGCTGGCCACGGGCTGGCGCCGTCGGAATCGAGTCAAGGCCAGCACCCACAAGCACCTAGAGGGCAGCAAGAACGCGGAGCCGGTGCCGAGTGGTCAGCGTGTGCCACCTTGGGAGTGCACGCCATGCTCGGACTCGCTCAAGCGGAAGGTGGTGAACTTCGGGTTCCGCTCGAACTGCCCTTTCTGCAAGAGGTCAGCTCCGCCGGAAACCCTCCTGCAGCAGGAGGCCCAGCGCGCAGCCGCCCAAGTGGAGAAGCGCAAGGTCATCAGCCAGAACAGGGAGGAGTTCATCAAGATGCGGGACACTCGCAGGCAGCAGGCATCGGCAGCTGCCAGTTCTTCAACCTCGCTAGCGACGGCGGTGACGAGAAGCAACCGGTGGACGAGATTCTTGACCAGGCTGAAGAAGGCGAACAAGGACAATATCAAGGAAACCCACAAGCAGAAGGAGGCCAATCCTGCGCGGGAGGGGCCATTGGAATCGACCGCTCAGGCTGGTGCCAGCCTCCAGGCCCTGATCGACAAGGCCACTGCCAAGAAGGACCAACTGACCGAGCTGATCCAGTACCTCGGCCCGCTCATGAAGGCTCCCCGCTCGGCCGAGTCCATGGGCAGGCTGCAGACGCTGCACAGCCAGGCCAGCGAGGATATCGACAAGACGGAGAAGGAGCTGGAGCAGCTGCGGAGGCTGCAGAGGCTTCGGGGTCCGAGCTGAAGATGGGCCTAGGCGAGGTTCGGTACACCCGCGATGTGCTGGACTTTGCCTTCTCCATCTGGAGGCGGACCATCCACTTGCCACAGCCCGGTCGCATCGGCGGCGAGGCTGCTGGCGAAGTACTGCCACAGCCCAGTCGCATTGGCGGCAAGGCTGCTGGTGAGCTGAAGGAAGACGACGATTTTGAGTTCGCGGAGATCCCGCCCTTCCCGCTGCTGGGCAATGCCGTCAGCCCCAGTACGGACGACGAGGGCGCCGCGGAGATGGCGTCGCCCGCGGTCGACGCGAGTGGCTGTCCCGTTACTCAGGCGGACTTTGATGCCATGGCAAGCATCTGCATCGAGGCGATTGGCAAGGACAGGTCCGAAGCCATGAGGCGCATCAAGGGCTTCAGTGAG